AAGTAAACAACATACTTGATGTCTTTATTTTATCCTACTATATTAAAACTATGGTAGATAGCATAGTGTCAGACTAACTAGATCTGATTTATGGCATTAAAGTACATTAGTATGGACAGTATCGAGAAAATAAATCATATCAGACAATATGGCTCAGTTATAAATCATGTGTTTCCAGATGACCCACTTTTCTATTGTGCTAAAACATTTGGTGTGTTCATACTACACAAACAGAAATATATTTATCACTGGAAAACCTGGTACTAATAAATATTAGGCTTACACATATCAAATTTATTGGTTTATCATATACAACATTCCCTTTTTTGACCATATAACCCATAATTGCGAATGATGCATGATGCCAAACGAGCAACCCAGTTATTAATTACTATTGTTCATTCGTTTGTGTTTGTTTTGTTCCTCTGTGGCTGTTTTCCTATGTAATGTGCGTTACTGTTTTTTTTTTTTTTTAAATGGCCTTGTTATTACTATATAGAAGAAACAAGAAACATTTTGAAAAAAGTAGGAGAAAAAAAAATACACTTATTAAATTTGCACATGAAACATTTATTGCCCCCCATTGGGGAAAAATCATCTGATGAGGTTGTCACAGTCCCTGTCTCAGGAGTTGAATACTCTGGTCTTTCCCTCTTGGTCAATCAAGTCCATCTTGCCTTTCAAGTAGTTTAATATTGTTCGGCCTATCTGCCTTCATGAGAATTAACAAACAAAGGATTTAGCACTCAGGTTCCTTCAGAGAAATTGTCTTTATTAGACAATCCAAGGGATGAGCACACTCTGTGGATGGTGGGACATGGGTCACTATTGACAAAGTGAGTGCTGAATCCTCTGTGTCCCTGGTGGGAGATGCTTATTTTGTGCAGTACCAGTTTGAGAGTTTCTTTTCCATAATCTGGATGGCTGAGTAAACTACATTCATAATGAATTAAGATTTACCTTTTATTTATAAAAACTGATAGTTTTACCACAGGAGATCAAACGTTCACAGTCCATTTAATAAACAAAAAGGGTAAATAGTGCAATAGTGTTCACAAATAAAAACAACAACAGTTTTTATTCTTTAGTAAATACACATTCAAAAATATCAGTTACAAATCTATCTGAAATCACTGTGCATATCTGGCTACTTGCCTAGTTAAAAACATCTGGCTTTAATTAAGCAAATCCCCAAATCTTGTATTCCCATGTAGCAGTAGTTCAAAGTTCAAATTCTTATATTGAAGTACTTAAGGTAAAAATAGTCTGCTGTTTTTAGACTAAACCTGAAGTAAGCGTATTAGATGTGAGATGCTGTCTGATAAATTAGCAGACTTCATATTAGGACTGTGTGAGTAGAAAAATGAACTCCAGCATTCTAACTCTGTCAGGTGCACCCATTGGAACATCCCATGGTCCTCTGAACATCATTGCGTGTGGGAGTATTGTATGGTTACAATCAATATTTGTGCATTACCATTAAGATACACCCACAGTACCTGTGTGGTATGACTTTCATTGGCTAAGGTGATAAAGAAAGACATTCAGGGTTAGTTACAAAAATAAGAATTTAAAGTGAATTTCACATTTAAGGTCACAATGGCTGTACTTGAAAAATTCTCCAAGTCAGTTTTGCTTATAATTCAACTACTCTGGCCCATAAACTTGGAATTCACTTTAAGTTCACTTTGAATTCTCATATTAGTAAATCACACTGATAGACCACGACAAAAAGAGAAAATGATGCACACGTAGCCCGAATTCACTGTTATCTACAGTATTTTATGGGACAATTTTAAATTATTCTTTGCCCTCTAAAGTTATGATGCTTTCTCACCATCATGCCACTCTTCAAAAACTACCTATATATTTTTTTTTTATTTATTAATGTTAAAATCATTTCAGCAGTTGTTTAAAAATTTAAATACATGATTTTGAGTTATTGTTAGATTTTGTGTACTGGATCCTCAGAGTGATAAAATAACAATAACCTTTTTTGTCTTTTCTACGCAGAGGAAATCATTGCAGGATTGGAAATGAAGACACAATGTGCATTAGGTCCCAGTGCTCCACTTTGAGGAGAACTGTATTGGACATTGATGGTAGATGCCATTATGTTGCAGCAGGTGGAGAGGTATGCAGCTGGAACAAGGTGAGTAAAATTCAGGAAGAAAAATTGAATAAGAGTAGGGGCATGGGTATTATAGCATTAGAGATACAGATGTGTCTTACGCTATAATGTTCCTTTAAAATCAGTCTAAACTGCTGTATCCTGGCTTTGTAGTTGCAGTTCTTCACTTTATTTTAGCATTTTACATTGCCTAGAACATATATTTATCTGTTTATACAACGTGAATTGATTTAAAGAATACAAAGTAAGGGTCTTATCAGCAGTAACTTCATAGACAGATATTGTACTATGTAACCCAATCATCAGCTGAATGGTCTCCGTGTAGCCCTCTAGACATCAAACACATAAAATAAGAATAATTGGAGATTATTAGTAGGATTGAAGCAGACAGAGGTCACATGCTTGCTGATATAGTAGGTAAAAACTGCACTGCAAATTGGACTGTGAAATATAAAATACAATAAGGCAGGGGTCTACAACATTTGGAGTGCTGAAGGCCGCCTACCCTCAGAAGAAGGAATTTCATATATATAGCTGGGAGAAAACTTCCTTGAAATGTTTAAAGGCACATCAATGATGCTACAGTATATCCTTTGGTTATTGTTTCAATAAAACTGCTCAATAACATTTTCTTTTAAATGGTTCCTGTGACGGACCCTCCGTCAATCGATGCTCCTAGTGCTTACCAAGGACCATCAGCACCGCACCAGACACCATAAGCACTGCAGATCCCACGAACCGCCGCAGCTTGGATGGGAACTCGCCATCCTCTACCCACCCTGGACCTACGACAAGGCTCCAGGTTCCAGTGGGTGATCCTCTCCCCCAAGAGAGAGTAACAGGAACAAGCTCTTAAAAGAGCTTAATGATTATAGCCCAGGGGAGTATACAGAGTATAGCAATCCCCCAGTGTAGATGCAGCCTTTTCCCCCACACATGAGACGAGGCTCTATGTTGAGGGTAAAACAGGAACTCAGCAGTCTGAGGGTTTATTGTCTCTTTAATATATGTTTTCCCACAAGGTTACTACCCATGTGGACCTTGTGGAGAACAGGATACAAAGTTACAAAGCCAATCAGGACAGTCTTGTACAGTTAGACACTCCCAGATAATTTACACAAACCCTCCCCTCTGCTTGGGAGATAATTGAGTAAGATACTATAATTAACTCAATTATCCCCAAGCAGAAAAAAACAAATTTTTCACAAAACACAGAAAACACCCCAAAACACCAACACTGGGTGAACAACATATCCAAAAATCACCCAGATCAGAGCGGGGGTTCAAAAGTTTTCTTGAAGTCTTTTTTGACCGACCAGCCAGTCTATCTTCTACTTATCTTAGAGATAATTGGCTTAAGTAGCTGTGGTAACTTAATTATCTCCAGGTACAGGAGATATCTCTAAGTCAAAAACTGTTTCAAAAAAACACATAAAAATACATAACTCATAATACAATGTTTAACCTATAGGGCCAACATATCCCCAGATAGCGTGGATCTGAGCGCTCAATATGTCACGAATACAGTTGGATCGCCATGGGCTGATGGGAGATTGAGGAGGGACAAGGCAGCCAGTTTAAACTGGCCTGGCAGTGTCCCTGGGACAACGCCCTACTGGAGAAACAATAGGACAGTGCATTTTCCCATGGAAGTCACATTTTAGCATGTCTTTTTGCAGGGCCCATAGTCTTTGGGCAAAAGGCTGGCCATTAGTCCTCTCCAAAAACCAGTGGCGAAATTACTTTCGTCACAGTTCATTATAATTGAACCAGAGTCACCTGATTTTTTTTAATATCACAGGTGAATTACCAAACATGGTACATGAAACCAAATAAAAACTCAGGATTAATTGAGGGTAGAAATCATCTCTTATATCTATGCAAATGGTAAGAAGTTGAACAAGTGGTCCTTTTAATGCCAATATACTCAGCTAAGTTGGTCAGTGGGGATAAGGAAAATGTCAATGTATTGAAAGATTCTTTATTCAGAATGAGCTTATTTAACAATGTATTCTTATCAAATACTTGCCTACCACAAAAACTCAAAAAGCCAATTCTTTGTAGCATATTAGTGTCAGATCTTTGAGCGTCTAGACCTTCAACCAAGTGCCACTTTTTTTTTAGTATCTATTTCTATGTCTGTAGTAGATGCCTGGCTATCAAGGTTTGTTATTAAAAGGGTACTACAGGTTGGAGATAACCGAGATTTTTTTTGACAATCTTTGTTTTAAATTTTAAAGAATTTATGCAGTGGTAAATTAAAATGAATAAACATAAAAATGAATGCATCCAAAAAGAAATACTGACTTTAGTTATTCAAGAAACAATTATTGGAGCATACAATCATATGTCAGTAGTATAAAAGGAAAAAAATAAAACCTCAAAAAAAATAATTTTTTTTTTACAAAAAACAATAAAAAATAGAAAAAAGAAAATAGAGAGAGGGAAGGGATTAGGTTATATGAGGCAAGCTTAGAGGACAAGAAACATAAAATAAATACTTCCAAAAACATAACATACAGAGATATCATTTCTAATTAGTGGGGTAATAGCTGCTTGTTCCAAGGAGACATCTGACTGCCATTTTGGGGTCAAGAAGGAATTTTTTCCTAGTTTGTAGCAAAATTGGAAGCACTTCAGACTGGGTTTTTACCTTCTTTTGAATCAACAGCAAAATTATATAAGAGGAAGTCTGAACTTGATGGACGCAAGTCCGCTATGTAATAAGCGTGAGCTTTGGAAGGAGGTGAAGGATGAGCGGGAGAGAAAACAAGTCTAGGGAATCCAGATTAGGCCACCTTGGCCAAATGATCCTGAAGAGAAGTATTAAGTATTAAGAGAAGTATTTAAAAAAAATGGTGATTATAAAGTGAAGAGGTCTTAGTCACTGGCTTGCCTCAAGGGGTAAAGAACGGTTTAACCCCAAAATATTTAGTCTGGTGCCCAATAGCTCTGCCCTGTCACTTGCATCAAAATTCTCAGACCATTCACTTCCATTACAGCACAAGGTTTCTTAACTGAACTTTGTTCTGGGCACTGTGGATAGGCTGAGAGTGTCAACTGATGCTCTCAGCTTATCAGTAGCTACCCATTCACAATTCTGAGTAAAAAAGGTCTGTACCTTTATTAGCTGCACCTGGTCTAAGGGTTCCTGGACTGGTACAGAAGTGAAGGGTAAGCGTGATAGAGTGCTGCATTGAGGATTTTGGGATTAAACCGTCTGTTAGAGGTTTAACCCCTTGAGATAAGCAGGCACCCAAGACCACCTTGCATCATCACAACCTAATTCCTATAAAGTTATTACTGTCTCCAGAGTGGTTCTTTAAGCAATATGTTATCAAGCAATTTTATTAAAACAATAACCAATTGATATATTATAGCAGCATGGTGGCGCCTGTGAACCTTTGCAGGAAGTTTTCTCCCAGCTATATAAACTCTCTGCAGTGCATCCAGCTATTGAAATAATATCATCACTGACTAAGGAGGAAACAATATATCATGTATATTAAATGAGAAAGTGCTTTGACTGCAAGAGCTTAGCAGAGCTAAGTGAGCATAGGACTACTGATTTCAAAGCATTGACTTACCTTAGAGAATTGGTAACATTTTTAAATGGTTTAAAATAACATAAGGGGCATGCAAGACCGTACCTTTCAAAAATCATGCTTTCTTGAAAATATTTATGTTTTCTTTCATTTTTGGTAGCACCATAGCTCACACCATCCCTCTGTTCCAATGTCTGTATTGGCATAGATGCTAAGCATTTAATTGCTTTACTGCATTGGGAGAGTTGTGCAGTGTGGGTATTGTAACAATGACAATCAGTTCCCCAGTGATCATGTCAGCAATATTGCTATCACCCATTCAACTAATCTTGCTCTCACTATCTGGATAGCTGAAAAGGGTTTACTTGACACTGAATCTATAGTCTGCTGCACCACTGAATGGCAGAAGCAATTACAGAGTGGTAGTCAGCCCCCGGATAATACTTAAGCGTCCCAAAGCAAGCTCACAAATACAAATGTCAGACACGCTAGTTCGTAATTTACTTGATGCAGGTGTTAAAAATAAGGGACCATGCACTTTATACACACACACACACACACATCTACACACTCGTTCACAAGGAGAGCGATAAAGAGGGAGATATAGAGGTTACAAAATGTGGTGTTTATTATCAGAAAATAATGCTACTAAAGGATTCTGGAGACATTATAATAAGCTAAGGAACTGAAAGTCGAGTGGTTTATTAGGATGTCTCCAGATCCCTGAAATTACATTATTTTCTCTTTATACTCCAGCTTTATGTATACTTTATATTAGATTGTAAGCTCACAAGCCAACTACCCTTCTGTGTTACAATGCAGCTACTTGTATGTCATGTATAATAATAATTGTATAATATTTGTTATTGTCAACTTGCCTGTAACTTTGTTATATTGCACAGCACTGAAGTATTATACAGTAGATACATTATTGTATCTAGTATTACACACTTTGTTTTCTGTGACTATTAATTTTTTTTATTAATTCCACAACAGCTACAAATTCGGAATGTTTTCTCCCAGACATTGCAGCTGACACTTACTGATATGCTATGGGAGGTTTTAGGACTGCTGCTTTTATCAATACAGTCCTTCTTCTCTTACTAACAAAACGTCTCTCTGCAACCCCTCTCCTGACATGTCAGTAATGGAAGAAGGAGTGAGTTGAACATAACTGCGGCATACAGCGACCGATCTCCCAGATGTGTCCCCACTCCTCACTAATATTGGGCAGGTTGGAACATGTATGACCTGATACCGATAGATTCTATACTTCACAGAATCAGTCACACCAAGCAATTTGCATTTTATTACACAATGGGGGCACTTGCTGTGCATTGACATCACAGGCAGATTATATGGAGTATAAATAAAACTGAAGCATGAGTTATGAGAAATATAATGTCATCAATGAGTTTAAATATAATATTTGAAGCTGCTGATCTTAATTCAGCCTCAATACCAAAATGCTAGAAGAGGAGACAGAGGGCCCATTTTTTAACCTTGTTGATAAATATAGCTGCCGTAGGTTGTCTTTTAAGAATGGTAGCTAGTATCAGTTTCAACCTTGTTGCTGAGATTTAGAAGTCTAGCACTAAAAACAGCTACCGCTACAGAACCAACCACTCACATATTAGCGGCAAGCTGGTTGTGCACAGAAACACTCCTGAGAATGCACACTTCACCTTCTGTGGCCAGTTGTGACAGACATGTATTGCTTATTATACAAATATATTTTGGGCCAATAAAAACCATTGTCTGGAAATCTGTCCATAAACAGGACTATACATAGGACACGAGGTTACACTTTTAGACTGGGAAAAGAATATTTAGTCTAAGCCAAAGGAAAGGTTTTTCTTTACTGTAAAAACATTAAAGGACCACTATAGTGCCAGGAAAACACACTTGTTTTCCTGACACTATAGTGCCCTGAGGGTGTCCCCACCCTCAGGGCCCCCCTCCCGCTGGGCTCTAGGGGATGGAAGGGGTTAAATTTACCTCTTTCTCCAGCGCCGGGCGCGGGACTCTCCTCCTCCTCTCCTCCTTGGCTGAAAAAGCATGCACGGCAGGAGCCGCGCATTCAGCCAGTCCATAGAAAAGCATTCACAATACTTTCCTATGGACGCTGGCGTCTTCTCACTGTGAAAATCACAGTGAGAAGCGCGGAAGCGCTTCTAGCGGCTGTCAATGAGACAGTCACTAGAAGCTGGATTAACCCTGTTTTAAACATAGCAGTTTCTCTGAAACTGCTATGTTTATAGAAAAAAGGGTTAAACCTAGCTGGACCTGGCACCCAGACCACTTCATTAAGCTGAAGTGGTCTGGGTGCCTACAGTGGTCCTTTAAGGATGTGGAAATCACTGTACAATAAGGATGTGGAGTCTGTACAGTGTTTTAAACAACAATTAGATAAATACTTGCAAAAACACAATATTCAGGGATTTTAATTAGTGGAGTAATAGCTTCTTGATCTAAGGAGATATCTGACTGCTATTTTGGGGTCAAGAAGGTTTTTGTTCCTAGTTTGTTGCAAAATTGGAAGCACCCCAGACTGGGTTTCTTGCCTTCTTTTGGATCAACAGCAAAAAAACAGATGTGAGAAAGGCTGAACTTAATGGACACATGTCTCTTTTCAGCTATGCAATGATGTAACAAGTAGCTGGGCAATTAAAACTTAGCAACAGGGTTGGGACAAAACATTTTGCTTTAATAAGATGTAAAGGGCTTTAGCTGTGTTTATTGTCATGACACCAAGTCAGAGGCTGGCAATACATTTCTTGGGATAACGACAATCATTAATGATTAGCGACAAGGATGGAAACCAGTCAGAATCAGCCACTAAGTAGTGGTTAGCAGTTCCCATAGGAAATAATGGGAACTGTTAGCCGCTACATAGTGACTCAGGGACTGGCTTTCAGTAGCAGCAGCCACTGCCAGCCGGCAACTACTGGATTCTACTCATAAAATGGGGAAACAATCGCTACTTGCTAAAAGTAGTCACAGACATGGTAACAAGTAACTGCTATTCACATACTGGAGTGACAAGATTGTAAGCAAGCCCAATAGTGGTTTAACCCCTTAAGGACCAAACTTCTGGAATAAAAGGGAATCATGACATGTCACACATGTCATGTGTCCTTAAGGGGTTAATAATGTTTCTCCAGGTCTTCTTCTGAGATATAAATCAGTAACAAATGGGTATATGGATTAATGGAGGCAGCAACTATAACAATGGCAACTGCTGCCCAGGAGTATAGCTACCACTAACCTTGGGCAGTCTGGAACATGTATACCCTAACTGTGCTGATATTGATAGCCTCTGCAATACTCAGGTTCCACCAGTCCATCACACAACTCAGTATAAATGACATTAATCAACCCCAACGTTTAGTAAAATATTAGCAAATATGATGTGCCTGTAGCGTGTGTAAGTAATACAATTCGTGAACAGTGTGTGTGAGTAATGCGATTCTTAAAGAATTATAGATACGGGCAATTTGGATTTGCTATAATAATAGGTCAAAACATTAAGACTGGACCCAAATGCATATGAACTGCTGAAAACAAAATATGCACCTCTCATATAGATTATTGATACAGCTGCAAGATATGTCAGTTTTCCACAAAATGGTGTTCTAAATCAAAATGACAAACTATCCATCATTTTATTTTCCAGCTTAGAATTGTTTTTGTATTTCGAATAGCAGAAATTGAAATAGCCATTATTAGAATAATACTGTAGGAAGAAGTACATCAGATTATAACTCAGTTCAACATACTGTTAATGTGTAGAGATGACGCGAACCGTCCGCGAACTTCTCGCGAACGGTTCGCCACGAACCGTTAGTGGCGAACTCCGGCCAGCTGACACATCCCGGCCAATCTCCAACAGACCCTCCCTCCCAGACCCTCCTATTTCCTGGACAGCATCCATGTTTGTTTCCCACTTGATCCAATGCAAATTGAATGAGAAAACACATTTCCAACTCACAGCTCCATTTTTTTTCTTCTGGATCTTTGCTTGAGAACTGTAAATTCTTAATCTGCCTTCTCCCGTAACCCGTACTCTGTGACAGTCATTGCAGGGGACAGGTGTGGCTCTGAGCACACTGCAGTGCTTCTTTGCAACATGCAGTACCTAAAATGTTATCATTATCATCATGTTCTCTAGGTATAGCCTTGGTATTTGATATTTTGGTTGCATTTATTGTATATCTCTTTCAATGCTAATAAACACATCAGTTCCTGAAATATTGTGATTTGAGATATATATATATATATATATATATATATATATATATATATATATATATATATATATATATATATATATATATATATATATATATATATATTTTGTTTTACCACTCAAAAATGTCTAAAAATTCTCCTGTGTCTGTCTCCCTCCAAGTCAACGTTGCTACCATCAGCTCCACCACGCAGGCTCGCTGCCTAGGTGTTCTCTTTGACCCCGACCTCTCCTTCAAGCCTCATGTTCAATCTATGGCTAAATCCTTTCATTTCCATCTCAAAAACATTGCGCACATCCGCCCCTATTTAACGCCAGATGCGACTAAGGTGTTGGTCCA